AGAGCCACAGAATAGTTTGTGCTATGACTATGTAAACACCGAACACACCAAAAGAAAGAGTAGACTCTCTTCTTTCATCAGGAAAAAAAATGTGTTTCTACCTTATTCCGTTCTTCCTGGACTTGCGTCTCACCGGCGACATGTTCTCTCATAGAACCGTTCCCTTTTTCTTATTTGCCTACAGTCTATGCTCATCTCCCATCAAAAGTGGCACTGCCCCCTAGAGGGTCAATTTGTTACTACATACTCTGTCTAGAAGCCCATATTTACGGACAAGCTTTAGCAGATCGTCCCCCAGACACTCTCGTTAAAACATAAAAGACCTCTATAGACGTCTTTGGCAGCCAATGAGTTAATTGCTAACTTCTCCCAGTCGGAGATAAATAATAATAAATATTAAAACTCCCTTTGTGGTCAGATGTCCACTCCAAAGCCCCTCGGCCCTCCACCGGCTTTAAAAGGCTCTCCACAAACTTTGATTGCATTTCTTTTTATCGTGCCCCAACTTCCATAAAGTTTGGAGACAGCTCCAATAAAGGCGTCCGCGTCTATAAAGGTGAGGAATCGTGGGTGTTAAGATCGATCCGAGCTGTCTGGATGGCTTTTTATTTATTTATTCATTTATTTATTTATTTATTTATTTATTTATTTATTTATTTATTTGTTTGTTTGTTTGTTTGTTTATTTATCTATTTATTTAATTATTTTTTGGGGAGGAAAAAATAAATAAATAAAAGAGAAGGGAATCCCTTTTAAAGGGGATTTCTGGGGATAACTTTGCCACAGTGGCAGAGCAGGTTTTTAGAGCATAATGCGCACGCGAGGCAATTCAAAGGGCTAAACGTCATGAAATAAGACGAATAAAAACAATAAAACATAGAAATGTATCATTCAGGGCTTTAGTTAAGAATGAACAGTGCAGAGAAAACAGCTTCAGCTGTCGTATCGCAGCTAAATCGAAGTTTTTTCAGGCTGGATTTAAGCTAACAGAGTCCAGACGTCTTTTTAGGAAGGTTGATCTCACGGAGGACTCAGATGCGGTTCGAAAGGGTTTTAATTCAAAAGGAGTGGATGACAGACAAAGTTAAAAAACAAGGCCAAACTATGGACAAAATATCAAAACAAGATTAACATGACTGTGGCAAAACAAGGCTGTGGCAAAGTGCAAAAATCAAAATCTTACGTGACGTGGACAAGACGAGGAACGAAAGAAAAGAGACACAAAACCCCAAAACTCACTGGCCCAGGACATGGGAAACAGGACTATTTAAACACATGAGGGGGGGGAACCCCAGGTGTACACAATAGGTAATCAAGACATGACAACACACCAGACATTCAGAATCAGAATCAGAATCAGATTCAGAAATACTTTAATAATCCCAGAGGGAAATTATTTTTGTTACAGGCTCCATAAGCAAAATAAAACAAAGGCATATACATATGTACATGTCTATACATATATACATATATATATACAAAATTCCTCATAAATATAGCTAGATATATACATAAGAAACATCCCGAACGGGACATGGAGTAGAAAACTGACGTCTTTGGACCACCTTCTTTTGAAGGGAAAAGGCCCAAAGTAGAGCTGACGACTCCAGAAAATAAAAGCTTTACCAGACAACAGCAGGAG